CCCGCTTTAAGGGCGCGTGCCCGCAGACCCGCGCGAAAAAAGACCTATTCTGCTCCTTTGTGAAATGCTAAGCTGGTGGCCAAGAGCTTCAAGGCGCTTCTTGCAGCCTCCTCCGCCTCTTCAATCCATATTTCAATGTTTTAAACTAAACTGGAATTGAATTGCTGCCAAGGCCTCAGCTTTGGCTGCAGCGGTGTCATATCCAGCTTGGATTTCGCTTGCGGCAGCGCCCATGGCAGGTGACAGTTTGCATAGTGACCAGTTAAATTCCGAGCCATGATCCTATGCTGGCATACTACTCCTCAAGGTCAGCAACAATGAGCTGTTGTGATTCACGCTTCGCACGTCAGAAACATGGTTTGAACATAGCTGCGATGCGAGGAAAAAACAACAACTGAAGTTGTCATCGCTTCCCACTACCCCTCTATGAGGCCACTTGTACCAGACGCCGTGCCATCTCCTGAATTCCTCTTCTCCGGGCCCAGCCAACCTGACTTTCAAGACATGAAGCGCTGTCCTGTAAAACAGTGGGCCTGGCCTTTGCTCCTGTTTCTCCATCCTGTCTTGGGACAGGAAGGCCTCAGAAGTGACCTGGAAAGAGACAATGCTGCATGCAATTGCTGCATGTCTCCTTTTCGCTGCTATGGCGCTTTCCCCACTCCCTCACCACAGAATCTTCCAGCAAAGTCGTCAGCAGGTGGCCCCAAGAAGACGGTACTTAGCAAGATCCCCAAACTTCCAGTGTCGAACACAGTACAGAAAGAGGTCAAAACTTCCCTCAGTGTGCCGCATTCAAAGATGACAAGTTCAGCACAGACGCAGCCCTGAAAACAGGCATACCTCCTCGTGCATGGTGCTTTGTCGATCGGCCTGGGCAGAACTTGGCAAACTCGGCATCTCGACACCAGCGCTTGTAGTCGCAGTACAGGGCTTTGCCTGCCAGTCGCAAGTCACGGCCATCAATCCTGCTTTAAGTTTGTCGAAAGGATGCCAAAGCGACTGGCCCAGTGTCTTTTCAGCCCCTGCTAATGCTTCCTGTTCGCGTGTAAACACGCAAAGCAGGCAAGCAGCATTCTCGCATGGAAAAAGCTGCTTCGACAATGTGCAGGGCGGCAGGCGCCAGCGCACGTTTGCGGAAGCGTGGCGCTTCCAAAAGTCACCGTTGTTATTCGCTGCACCACCAGGGAAATAGGGAGAAAACCCCTCTGGCCCAACATCGGGCAGGAGACCACGCTTCTCCAACTCCTCCTTCATTTCTGGATAGGTCTGCGCGTAGCCAAAGCTTACCCAAGGTGCCAGTGACGTGCTCCCTGGTTGACGGGGCTCCATATAGTCATAGAAGTATGCCCAGTGTGTAAATTGCACCGGGGACCAGATACCCGAATCAAAGAGCAGCAGGAAGCCGCTCAAGTTCCTCACAAGAATAGCTCAGAATCAAGCACAGTGGGCATAGGCACGAAACCCAAGTAATAGTAGCAGGTCGCACAGAAATCAGTGTTTTGCACGCATCGCGCCCCTCTCACGTCTCACGTTTTTACCTACAGGTGAGTAGAGCAGCTGGAGTGCTGACTGTGATTGGACTGGATGAACTTTCAGTAGCTTGACACCTAGCTGTTTCATGCTGTTTCTACTGCTGCAGCCGGCAAGCTCCTTCGACATGGTAACCGTGACTTGCGGCGGTTCCCACAACAAGGGACCGCGATGCGAGTTGCCGTTGGATACTGAATGCTTGTGTTTGTAATGTTGAATGCAGTCTGCTCTCCTCTGGGCATTCTTACCGTGTGCCCCTGTCCTAGACAAAATTGCTCCGCCTTGTCAAAGCTCCTGCTTGGTTTGCTCTTCTGTCGTAAGCTTTATGTGGCTTCTCTGCCACATACTTCTTGGCCTTGACTGTGTGATTTGATCTATGAAGCATTGCCACAGCCTCGGAACTAGAGAGCGTCCAAACGGCCAAATAATGCAGGAGCTGAACTTGAACTTACACCGCAACTTACTCAATCAGATTCCTGATTTTAGTATTATGTATGGTATACGCAGAATCATAACGACCCCCACCGAATCGCAACAATCATCACTGGGATGATGCTCACGACAAGCTCACATGTACTTGTGCTGACCACAACACACCTCAAATGCTAGCTGCGGCCGAAGTTCTGCATTTTTGTCTGCCCATTCTGCTCCTTCGGATTCCCAAGCGGCCAGTGAACATATCGCACCCCTTCGAGCACAGTGTCCCAGGCAACATGCGTGTGCCCAAAAGCATGGCAACGAGGACCCACACGTCGAATCTGCTCTTCAAGGTATGATGACCCTGAAATCTTCGGCACGTGCTGATCGTAAGAGAAACGCTTCTCCAGGATGAGTTCCTGCAAGGCTGCAAGGATCTGCAGCAATTTCTCAAGCGCTCCGCGCTAATAACTTCAGAAACCATGCGCACAATTAACTAGCGACTAATGGCTCCATGTCGCTCCTGCCGAGGACAGAAATGCGAAAAACTCAGAATCTCGCCACCTTCACGCTGTTGCAGGCTGAGCACGGAAGCAATCCACGCTTCGTTGCGTTCAGCAAAATGCTTTGCAAGATGGTCCGAGCTGTCACCTCCTGCGCCGAAAACGAAGCCTGGCAGACGTGCAAGAGGGCCCCACTTGCACAAACGAAAATCACTGACACGCTTTTCAGGATCTACAGGGGGCTGGAGCTGCTGAGGTAGCTCGGGTTCACAGTCCCAGCTTGAATGATACCAAGACCAAAGTGGAAGCAGCAGAAGAGGACATCCGGAGCTCTCTGGGCTCAGGATGCGGACCGGGCTGGTGTAAACCTGCAGCCTCTGGCAAATTTCATGGATTCGATCAAGTTTCTCCACAGAGTCCTTTGCAGGAATAGAGTCCTTCCTTTGACCATGGGCCCAAGCTTCATGATTGCCGAAGCAGAAGCACACCATGTGGAAAGCTTCCGTCAACAATTTAAGAGCTTCCTCGAACTGCTCCTCTGCCGTGCAGAGGTCTCCAGGCAGAAGCAAGCAATCAAAGTAGCACTTCAGGCTGACAGGGTCGCAGTGCGATTTGCTTCTCAAGCAGCTCATCATCCATTCCCGATTCTTGCGGTGGTCGATGTGAAGATCGGAGACCAGAAAAACCCGGAGCTGGTGACCATCAGGTACCTTGACATCAGTGACATCGTTGCAGTCAGCTCCCGGGAAGCTGCGCCGCTCCCCTCTGGCCGCCTCTGCTTCATCAAGCTCGTCCCAGTCCAGCATCCCAATGCATGGCGTCTAATGGGCTAAAAGGCCTTGAGAGCCCTGAAGTTCATGATACGCAGCATCGAAAAAACAAGATGTGGGTTTCACATGTCCATGCGTCCATGCCACATGGCGGCATGCCGGCACGCAGGGCTGTCATGCCTCATCGTCCCACGACATCCAACCTCACTTATGCGCACAAAGACTTATGTATCAAAATTGCTTCAAGCCTCCAGCGAAGCATGCATGTTCTGGAATCGGGTGAACTTGCAGGCTACCAGGTGAGAAAGCGGGGGCCGTACGTGGTGTCACTCGCCGGGAGTAGGCAGGCTTCTGGAAAACCTCATCAGCGCGCTCAGCCGAGAAGGGTTGTGCTCAAGACACAAGATCCTTTCTTAAGAGTTCAGTCAATCTCATGTGAGACATCCCAGCTTTGAGCCAAGCCCAGCACCTCATAAAAGGTAAATACACATCGATGGCGCTATGCTACGATGGATTCAGCGAGACCGAGCTTAGTGTTGCTACAAACTTATTTACAGCTGCTGAGCGCAGACTTTCCTGGATGTGAGAACCGTCATTCTGTTTCACACGTTTTGACTGCTTGACTTGCCTACTCAACTTGAAGGCGGCAAAGTTTTCAGGGTGCTGAGCAAACCTGCCCTTTCAGAGCTGTCACTACACGCACGGTCCATTTTGATGAAGCGGGTGAGCGTAGAGCAGAAGGGGCAATACTGCACATCTGCCAATCTACAATTAAATCCACAGCTGCCGCCGCATCTGTACTACGGGAAGCAGGGGAGTAAACTGGATACACATGATATCGCTGATTCATGTGCCGATGCACATCTTTATGAAGAGTAGGCCTGGCACTGCATTTGGAGTAGCATGTCGCCCCCCCCACCCCCCCCCCCCACCTCTGCCAGCAAGGAAGTTCGTTGGCTTTTGGAGCGCTCTTCTGCATCGCGCCTTGATTTGTGCGCAGCGCAACGCAATCGCACTGGGTAGCTTCAACTCTCGGATGCTTGAATGCGGGACACTGAGTTGATGTCTCTGACTCTACTTTGATTTTGCGGGGGGCTGTCTCCAGGTTCCTGCGCACATCGGATGTCTGTACATAGTGACCATTACATTAGTCAATTTGAGACATGCATACGCAGCAGTCCATGGATGTGTCGATGCTGTCCTCGAGGAGACGGCAGCTGCACCAGCTGCTCTATGGCATTCATCAGAGTCAGACTCCGACTCAGTGCTTGAACGGCTTGCTGGCCGTTCATCATCAACGGCGTGAAGGCGAACAGAGGGCGAAGACCCGGACGAACTGCAGCTCTCTTCGTCGCTTTGGGCTCTCCCTTTAGGATATGTGAACAAATCTTTGATCTGGTTCGCCAAGCTGTCTTGATGGCTTGGACTTTGCAGTGCGTCCACCTCAGCCAAACTGTCATGGAGTCGCGAGTACAGGCTCCCCGAATACATAGCTCATTGTCGAATCATACTTTGTATCTTCAAGAAGAACGTAGCCCGAACGCAGCAATCGTGGGTGGCGGTTCGCCTTCCGGCCCTAACTATTTGCTGAACATGTTTTGACCCGGGTCATGGTCGCAAGCAAATCTACCATTTAGCGACAATTTCGACATTTATGTAGTTCCCCACAGCTCAAGCTTTACGAGTAGCTTTCTCTCTAGAAGGACACAGGCGAAATACGGGCCCCAAGGAAAAACCGGAACGGAACAGAATGGAACGGAACGCCCGAAATGAATGCAATGGAACGAAACGGAACGGAAGGTAACGCAATGTAGTGGACCACAGCGGTACGTAGCAGTAGAAAGGGATGGAGCGCATCGGAGACGTAGCGGAACGAAATAGAGCGGCGTGCAATGAGGGGCGATTGAACTCAATGCGACTGCAAGTCATAGGCACATTCAAAAATAGCACATGCAACAGTGTTGATGCTCTTCGTGCCCAATTGAGGTTCCACCCAAGACCCGGCCCGAGCTCCCGGATCCTAACCCCTCTGCTGGCCCTGACAGCCTGAAACTTGATTACTTGACGTGTAGCCAGCAGTGTTGAGTAAGTCGAATTTCTTAGATCTCTCCACAGTTCAGTTTTGCCCAGAACCATCCAACACCCCCAGAAAACCAGCATTCCTTCCTCAAATTTCAATAAGACCGCTCCAGTTGACAAAAATTGAGCCTGGAGCCTGTCAGTTGTTGGTCCAAAATTGCATGTATAAGTTTTCGAAGCGCCCCCAAGGGCTGACACGCCCCTCAAGTGAGGACGAAAAACCAGAAAGCTAATATCCCGAAGGCGTCTTGAACCAATATCAGCTTCAAGGAGGGGACGCTATGATGCGAGCGGCAGCAGCAGCGGCAGCAGCGTCGGCGGCGTCAGTAGCGTCATGATACATGTTTATTTTCACAGATTCTGACATCTGACACCGCTATAAGCTATAAAACAATGCATACGTAAAGCTAAGTAGTCACCGCAGCACATTCAAGCACGCTGCGTGCCTGGCAAGCGCGACATGATCGAAGGACAACTGACAATGCACAGCCACATTGCCATCAGGGAACGCGGTAAAACGTAAAAGATTCTGAAACCAACCCCCCGATGGAAATGGGCAACAGCTTTAGCCACAAGCCACCATTGTAGAACTTCAGGCCCAGGATTGCGCCATGAGCCCCCAGCTCAAGAGAGTCATGCAAGGAAATTAGCCACCAGCCCCCTTGAACAACAGTGCGCAAGGGACTGAGCCACCAGGCCCCTTGAAAGAAAGTTAGGCAAGGGGTTTAAATTAGCAGCAGCCCCCTTGAATTCATTTTAAAGAAATTCACGCACGAGAGCTAGCCACCAGCCCTTTTCACAGTGTTTAAAGAAGGCAGTGGATTTCGCGACAGGAAATTACGCAAGCGACTTACAGCTTATAGCCAGCAGCTTTACAGAACATCATGCGAAGGATTTAGCCAGCAGGGTCCTTAAAAATGACAGAAGGGATTCAGCCAGCTTTTGCAATAAAATTACGGATGGGATCCAGCCACTAGCCCTGGTTGAGGAAATGAATTCAGCCACCAGCCCTCCGCTCGAAGAGAATTACGTGAGGGAATTAGCCACCAGCCCCCATCGAAGAAAATTAAGTGAGAGATCTAGACATCAGCGCCCTTGAAAACCAGAAAGGTATGCTGCGGATCCCCACTTTTGGGCAGGTAGGATTTCTGAAGGGATTTTGGAGGTTTGGAGAGTTTGAAATACATCAGATTGTACTGTACTTATATGCCATGCCAAGCCAACTAGCAGTAGTAATTATTAATATTAGCAAAGCCTAGTGCAAATTCCTGGAGACCTTAATCGTGAAGGGTTGCCTGTAGAATGCCATAACAAGGGTTTTCACGTGGGGTCTGGGAACCAAAGGGACATGTTTGGTGTGTGTGTTCCGAAGTTTCTATTGGGCCCTGAGGGCAATTTTTGGGCCTCCTCCCGCTGGGGGCCACTTTCCATGCACCAAACGCAAGTCCCCGCTCCAGTTCTCCTGTCTCACACCAGACATGTTTTCTTTTGATTTCCAACCCCCGACGTTCAAACCACTGCAATGGCTTGCTACGAAACAGGCTCCTCTGATTCCTACTCTGGGTTTAGAGCTGGGATCAAGCGGTCCAGCAGCAGACTTGCAATGCCCGAGCCCCAGAACCCCGCCTTATATCGTCCCGAGGGGAATGGGGTTCGCCATATGCCTTGATCAGCCTGCCTGCTGCAACAAGCTGGCGAGCTCATATGGGAATCCGCCACCCAAAGGCATGGGGCATTCAGAGTGGTATGATGAACCATGCAAGAATCTCCATGTCAGGTGAAGAGCTTGCAAAGGAGAACTGTACATTGGTCTGTTGCCCATTTACTAATTAATAGGATTCCTAGCGGTGAGCCTGAACAAAAATCATGGCTTTGTTGACATGTCCCACATTTGTGATAGGCCGTGTATAGCAGGATCCATATGTGGGTTCCAAGTTGCGCTGGTCCTTGCGCTCTGCATTGTGCTCGCTCCTGGCCATTTCTGACGATTTAGGCCGTGCATCCGCAGATCGATATAATTTGACATGCAGCATCCGTCCTTCTCTGACCGAGTTCTCGGCCCCTGCCGAACGACTTTTCGCCCCGCTCCTCAGCTCAGCTTCGAGCGAGATCATACAAGTTACCGTTCTCAGCCTCATGAAGCTGGTTGTGGGATGTTCTTGGCATGGGCCAATCCTATCAGCTCCGAGTTGCCTTACACAAACAAGGGTATTAGAGAGTTGGCTGCCGGAGTGTGTAATGCCCTGACTTTGGCTCCTGGATGCGTCATGTGCTGGACCTGCCGGCGCTCTCCTCTCGATCGAAGCAGCGCACATCACACTTCGCAACAAGACTTCTCTTCATGAATTCACGGTCACCCGAGCGGGCTGCGCGTCCTACCGATGGTGTTTCTGCCAGCTCTGTTAGGACCTGGTTCTCCGGCAGCTTCATGCCTGAGATCTTTTTCCTAGAGCTTTTTTTGAGTCACACTGATGGCCACAGGCGTTCAATGAGAGCCGCTAGAGCGTTCTCATTCGTCCATATGCAGCTTCTCTGCCTGCCATACCCTCCAATCTACACGATCTGGTAGTAAAGCTTTGAGAAATTCCATGCGTGCCCCCGCATGCATATCCCAACACCGGACACCGGAGCCCTGCTGCATCAGATTATTCCCCCAGACCAACGGCACCGACTCCTGACATGGCTCGCGATGGCACTCAACGTGCTGATGCTGTTTTCAAGCTATTAATTCGCTTCTGAAATTTTGGCCTTTTCGTGACGGAACGAAGCCACAGTTGTAACGGGCGCAACTTCACGAATCTGGATTTGTTTGGAAGGTGGCGTGACCTGATAATGAAATTCGACGCCTGCTGTACTGTTTCCCCGGCTCTTCAATCTGTGCTGTCCGAAAAGGACGCCCCTTACACGACAAGCGGGCAAGACTGGGAACCTGAATATAAAACAATACAACAAGCCAGCCAAAACATGCACAGGCGCAAAGTTTCTGAGGCTTGTGCGCGGGTCTAGGAAGTCGCCCGTCTCGCTGGCTGCCCCAGTTCTCGCTGGTCTCATGAGCTTTGCGGGAAGGACTCTGACTCAGAGATTGCCTGGACAGTTGATCTGCTTCCGGTGCCGACATGAATTTTAAACTCTGCTGACAGTGCATAAACGTTTTCCTGTAGGCCTTGTCTCGCCCCCGCATTCCATCCTGCCCCCGCCTTCCATCCTGCATCAGAGAAGCACCGCCCTGAGTCCCAACTAGAACGCATGGGCGGGTCCATATCCCGCTAGGCTTCGCGTCCACAGGATGCAAAAGCTGCTGCGTCTCCGGTTCATACCTTGCAAAGATTTGCACACATTTGCCTGAATCCACAAGGTTTGAGGACTGCGGCTCATAATCAATGTCCTTGCTACCCTGAAGTTTTTGGTTGTGTTTCTTCCTTTGGAAGATTATACACACATTCCAAAATTCCGTGCACTCTACTAAACGCAGTGGCTCTTCTTTTTCCTCTCCACTGGATGGCAGCAGTCGTACAGTCCAACCTAGGTTGCCAGTAGAACAATGCATTGGGTTCCTGTCACCCAGGTAGCCATATCCTGACATCCCCCCGTTCCACACCCGCCAATCACCCAAAGCACTCACTCCAAACGCATTATGAGAACTGTACGACGCTGATGATCGCACGGACTGGAAGAGACCAGAGCAAATGCGGAAACGATGCGGGAAAAACTGCGAACCCCTTGGCCAGGGGCCAGTCCGAGGCGGGAAATGTCGCACCACCTTCATTCCCAGCAGCAAGTCGCGGGGTAGCTCTGTGTCACCCCAAGCCATGAGCACTACCACCAGCACCAAGAATGCCTCGCTGTGACGCGGCGGACTTCTTCCGTCTGAAACTTACACAGTTGCGAGCTGCCTGGGCTCCATCGCCTGTGCAGCACTCACGATATCCTTACGGATACCCTGCAACTTGCCTCTGTAGCGGGCTGTGATGTGGGCTGCGAAACAATACCGGCACTTGCTCAAAGGGAATAGACTCTTGGGTCCTGTGCTCGTCAGGGCTGCGGCTGAGGCCAAACGAAAGTGGTGGCTGCTGTTCGCTGCCACTGCCGCACTTGCTGACTCAGCAAAAGGGGGACCAACGCCCTGCCAGGCTACGAGTAACTCCTGCTCGGACAACCGCAGTGAATAGGTGGGGAAGTGTTCGCATGGGGAAGCAGAACCCCGCGAAGACCGCTTCCAAGAACAGCGTGCTGACTGCCCGGCACACTGCTTCCTGCCAGAAAATGGGCACCATCGCTGGGGAGAAATTTGCTGCCATTGCTGTAGCTAGCAACACTCTGCGCTTTCCAAAAGGCCGGACGTTTGCAGCCGTTTGCATCTGCTTCTCCTGCGGGAGGTGCCAGCGCAGGCTATTGGCTGGATTCTCTCGGATGGTTCCTCCACCCCTTTTGACGAGGCTCTGCACCTCATCCAGGACGAAGGCCACGCTGCTGGTTCTGAAAGGAGAGGCCAGGCAATCCTTCTGGATACGGCTCGCTGCGCAAAAGCTTGGGCAGCGGGGCTCCATCTGAAGTCTGCTGCTTGATTTCGCACGCCCTGCTCTTCGCCGAGCAATCCATCGCTACGACTAATTAGGAAACACGCATCCTCAAGTTGCAGCCCAATGGTCTCCTGACAAACAACTTTCGACAGATCATGTTCCGCGCTCAAAAGCCAATTAATGCTTAGGGTTCGCCACCCACGCCTTAAGAATGTCTTGGACACTGGGCAGTGACGAGGTCCGCCATGATCGGAGAATTTGGGGTAGAGGTATCCTCCTCTTGCCCCCTGAATCGGGCGCTGCCCTCACCCTTGCCAGGGCATCCTCACGACTTAGTGCTCAACTTGCAGTCGTGCGCCCCATGGCCTCGCGACCTTGCCCCCGATCTTTGCGCCCTTCTGGAAGTGGGAATCTTGTTCGCGACAATCACTCCCGCCTGTCACGGCTGCTGCTACAGCCCAGTGGGTGCCACGCGCCCGCATCACTTGCTGCACGATGACTCCAAGTGGCATTGCCACTCTCCCTGAAGCGGGCGACGGTGACAAGTGACCCACTCACTACGCTCATCTCTCATCTGTGTCCCTGACTTGCAGCCAAGCGCTTTTAGCTCGGAACCCATACGCCATCACGGCGTCAAGCGGCACCCCACAAACTCAGTCGAATGGCCCCCAAGGTGGGTCTGCGACCAAGGTGATGAGGCCTGCCCCGGCCAGGGCGTCTGCTAGCAACAGGGTATAGAGTTTGTCCAAGCATGTGTCCGCATCCTTGGAAATCTGCTCCTCTGTCTCCGCTTCTTCTGTATACAAGTTCTCCCCCAGCTTACGCTTCTTCTGAGCGGTTATGAGCTGGAATTGCAGGTTCTTGACTTTCCAAATGTTGAAGACGCACAGTGTGCGCTTGGCAAGCTCTTTGGTCACCTGAGACACTACTGTGTCACTGGGGTGCACTTCAGGCGGGAAGCGCAGCTTGTGTCGCTGCCCAAAGGCTGTCTTGACATCTCGAGGCTCACTATCTCCTAGCGTGGAGTCAAGGTCTGCAAGTGAAACCTTGGACCTAGCCTGCTCTGCCTGCTGGAAATGGTCTGACTGCAATGCCCTATGCACCCTAGCTGTTTGCAACCAGGTGGCATCTACCAAGCAGATCCTGACGCCTTCGGCTTTGAGCTTGGCCACGACGTCCTGACGCAAGCTGAAATTCAGGGTCAACGTGTCCAATGCAGCAGCGAACTGTGACTGGTCAAGCGGCGCCAGATTCACCGACATGCTAGCACCCTGCAGAGTCGCACTCCGAGGTATGCGCAGCGCCAAAAGTTCTTGCCGACACCGAGGTCACCCCGCGGATAGCACCTATGAACTCAAGCGGCTGCAGCAGGCACATGCTCGACTGCACATGGTGAGGAAAGTCGGATATCAAGACAAAACACCGGCGCAAGCAACGTGAGCACACTCATGGCCCACGAAGTCACATCCGAGCTCGTGCGCCTGAACTACAGGGCAAGCATTTTCAAAGGAAGCGCCGCTGCTTACAGCTAGAACGAGGTAGGTGCCATCTGGAAGCAGCATGTAAATGTAGTGCTTGGGGCCGGCTACAGCCCTGGCATCTTCACCACGTCGAAAGTGAAGAGGTGTGCCCCTCTGAGCACGATGCCCCCCCTTGGGTGGGGTTCTTTCCCCGCGCACGAAACCTGCACGCTGACGCGCGGGAAGCGACGCTCGTCTGCTCTGTCTTTTATGAGCCGGCGTGGAGTATATGAGAGCTCCCTTCCGGGTCACTTTCAGAAGGGGCCTCCGTCCTGGGCTTCGACTTGGACTGGGCTGTTCCCAATAGACCAGATCAGACAAAAAATTAAGTAGACAAATCGACGCAATTTGTCTAAATAGACAAATTTGAAACCCGAAACGTCGACCAAACTCCGGGTAAACCTCGGGTTTTGAACCCGCGGTTTAGCCGAAGTTTGGGAGGTCTTAATCCGAAGTTTGCCAGAAGTTTAGTCAAAGTTCCTGGAGAGCAAAAACGCACGAAACATGCACAGGGGCTCGGGCTGGCTTTCGCGCGCTTTAGCGCAAAACATCAGCCCGAAGTTTGGTTGAAGTTTGACGGCGCGTAACCCGAAGTTTGGTCGAAGTTTGGTTAGACAAATCCGCCCAATTTGTCTAAGCAGACAAAAACGAAAATTTGTCTAAATAGACAAAAACAAGATTTACTCTAATCTGGTCTCTTGGGGTTAGCGCAGGCATCGCCTTTGCTGGCCACGGCATGGGCTTTGCCTCCGTGCTTGCTGGCTTCTCCAGATCAACTACGGCTGCCACTCTCGCCCTCGAAGATGGCTGTGATGATGATGAGCTGGATGCTGGACGCTTACGAGGTAGCGGGGGCAAGCTGCTTGCTGAGCTCTCTGGGTACTGGGCGAAATTCTGGCGAGGATGACGGCAAACGGCTTGCTCTTCTTCACCCTAAAAGGTGGTCGTCGCAACACCTTCAGAGCTGCTTTAGCAGAGGGCAGTGATATCTCAGTACCCTGCTCGATTGCCGGGCAGCATTCTTCCGCACACCCTACTGCTGCGAAGGACTGCGGCGCAGAGGTGCGCAAGACTACAGCTGCAATTCGCACACCTCGCAGCTTTGGAAAGCTGGGGCTAGGCCGCTCCTAAGAGCGCTGGCAGTCACTCTGCCATTGACACTCTCAGGCATACCAACACAGGGAGCATCTTATCCAAAAGCTCCGCCCGCTCTCTCTGCACTACCTGCTTGAGCCTCAAAGCTGAAGGGCGAAAAGCTCTCTGGGTTTTCTTAGGAAAGGTCACTCCTTCCAAAACCCTGAAACAATCCAAGCCGAGCGCCTCGGCCACGCAGTCCGCTGTCACATCTGCGCACTCCTGCAGGAATTGCGGGGGAATCTTTTCCTAAGACTTGAACGTATACCCCGCAAGCTCACGCACGGAAGACAGAACGGTACGCTTGGCCCACATGGACAGGGTATACTTGCCGTCTGGCCTGCCTTATCGGTCCAATCGCTCAAGAGCTAACGTCGTTCCATATCGGCGCCAGAAAATGTTGTGAGGCGCTCGACCCCATCAAGCTCCCCATGGAAAGCTTGTTGACACGCTTGCTGCGTATCCGCCCTGGCCCAAGAGTGCCCTTGCTGATCGAAAACGAGTCCGCATCCTCGTTGCCTATGTTTGGACAACTTGTTGAATGCCTTGTGAGACGTGCGCGGCGACGGATCTCTCCAGGCGCACAAACCTAATGCACTCAAACATCACGAGCCGCACGCCCATCAGGGGCATCCAGAGCCGGTCGCTGGCGCCATACGCAGCAACGATCTTGCTCAGCGCCGCCTGGTTTGCTGCAGCGTCACGAGTACTGCAGAGGGACTTTCGAAGTAACCCTTTATGTACTTGTCTGTGTCACCGCTCTCCTTAGATAGTTCAATGTGCGATCTCCGACGAGCATCGGTCAGAAATGCGCCTTCTTAATATCCAGTGAGATCAGGCATTGTGATTTCTCGGAAGATCACGCTTTTGACGTCGAGTCCGGGGCTTAACAGGAAGTTGGGAGAGCAAACAAAATACGCAGTGCACTAATGGGCAGCATAGAAGCATAGAAATGCTTCCAGGTAGGTTGGTGGACATCCTGAATTCACCGCCCGGAGATCGCTTGTTGAGCCCTCGTCTCACAAGTGGACTGCGGCACTTCGGATTGGTCTTGTGCCTCTTGCGTTCGCGTCAATCCAACGAGTTGCGACGACGCGTTTAAGCCTCAGGACTTAGGCCTGGGAATCGCTTCCCACACCCCAT